TTTTTTTTTCGGAGATTTGTTCGGGAATTTATTGGTACAGTATTTCACTGTCATCAAAAGTTGACGTACCACAAAAGTGTACTTTTTCTTAATTTTAACAACAGAAATGGACATACCCCCCCCAGGGCGGCCCACCCCACTATTTGAGAAGTACTGGGCCAGGGTTAGGTTTGCTGGCAGATTGAGGCACCGATGTGGCTAACAGCAACCCTGCGTACCTGTGTGTTTGCATGTGTACTGTAAATGCTCTGACCTCATAGACGTGCACTATGGGAGGTCCGATGTCATCATCAGTAGTAGGAGGTTGTTTAGGTTTCCAGTTGGTGATGGGGAGGAGAACTTGACTAGGAGATGAGGACCTGGGGAAGGGCAAAACACACACACAAAAAAGATAAAAAATAAATACTTGTTCACCTTTAACCTCTTAAACACAACTGTGATAAATTGTATCAAAGAAATCTACAATCATGTGGGTGTTGATGTTTTTACATTGACATTAATGTTGATGTAATTATGGTGTTTTTCTCTGTAATGCTGTTATTAATTATCTTGTTGTTGGTTTTTGTTGACGTGACATTGTGGTTTGTTGATGATTGTTGTTGTGGTTAATATGGTTATTGTTGATATTTTGAATGTTTTTCATGTTGTTCTGTTGTTGTTTTACCCTCTGATGAAGACCTTGGCCATCACAGCTAAATTAGTCACACTGGAAACCCGAGGACTGGTGTTGTCAAACTGGTTTGAGCTGATGAAAAGAACGACAAAAAGCAAGACATCAGTGTGGTCCAGAGCAGCTGACAGGCCACAAAATAAAACAGTGGACACCCTCGATACGAGATTCCCCAAATACACGCATTCCAAGTGATGTGTCTGCAACTATTGCAAGATTTTGCTCCTGATACGAGGAAATACGTAGTTATATCTAGTAATGTCTGAATTTGAAAAAGTGGCACAGACAAGGGGGGATTTTATGATAATTAATTAATAGTATATTTCTGGGGGGCTGGAATGAATTAATTTGTTTTTAATTATTCTTTTATTGGGGAAAATTACCAAGACACGAGTGCTGTTGTGGAATGGGTTAAATTCGTATCTAGGGAGTTGACTGTAATAAATAGCTATTATGCTAACACTACCAGAATGCTAACCTTGTAATCTGGAGGTCAAACTTGACTGAGGTGTCCTCCTCTGACAGCTGGTGAACGCTGAACCTCAGCTCTGCCAACAGCTGACCAGTCACAAGTCAGAGAACCAGTCAGTAGTGAGCACAGAACCAATCACAACAGAGAGAAGATGTGGTTCTTTTTTTGGGGGGTGGGGAGGATTGTAGACAGAGGTCAACTTACTTTGGTTCCACCCTTCATTGGGTTCCCCAAGTCACAAACCACCATCTTCGTCTGGTTCTCCTTCTTGTAGGCGCAGGAGAGACGAGACAGAGTCTGAGAGGACACAAGAAAAAAATGTTAACACAAAGACTGAGGAGTGGGCAAAGCGTCTGTAGATATCCCATGGTGACCCAGCAGGGGGCTGGGCTGCAGATGAATATTAGTCTGTGGTGGATATTTTTAAAATATTTATGTTTCCATTTCAGAGGAACGGAGATGGTGGAAGGCTTGAAGGGGACATTGTCAAGCAGATATCGTAAGGATTTCTCTGCTCAGACAATTAATATTATTGAGGCTGATGCTTGTCTTCTCTTGATGCCCCCCAAAACCCCAGACTCACCTTACTGCGGACCACTCCGGTGAAGTCAGCCTGCGGGGGAGGAAACACGTGGAGCTCAGCCTCATAGGCGCCCTCTCCCTGATTCTCAGCAGACACCTCCAGCGTCAGTGCGTTGTCGTCGCCAATGAAGATCTGATCGCGATCACTGGAAACACAGCGGGTGATAATGTGACAGATGACAGATGACAATGACATCACCGCTCATACTGTATCACAGCCTCTCTCTCTTCTCTCTCTCTCTTACCTCTTCACTGACAACCTGAGATCAGGTTTACAAACGTTATCCTCACCACAGTCCAGAAGGATATGAGCCTAAGGAACCAGGAAGAGTGTAAATGACCCTTAAGCAGAAAATTAATTTCTTGGGGCTTTTATTTTGATGAGTTCCTGTTTTCCTTTTGACAAGACTCTTATTTTGAAGTGCTTCCCAAAAACTTTTTTTATAGTCACCTGATCACAAAGTTACAGCGCTATTTAGCCACAGCTAAGCGCCCAGTCGGAGCACTAACGACGTATTGTTTTAGTTTTTCCTTATTTTATTTTTGTACACATTGTGACATATTTGGTTAATTCGATCTGCTGTAATTGTTTGTAAAATGTATATTATCCATCTTAGCTCTTACGGTGTTTCTAGGAAGAACGGTTACGAACGGCTAAACACAATAAAATCTTCTGGAAACATCCGTTTTTCTGTTTTCTTTTTTTGACTTCAGTCCATTCAAGTCTGATCTCACACACACACACACGTTCCGTTACCTGTTTGGTGACGTTGTTGGGAGCAGATGGGTCCAAGATGGGTTTCAAACCAGTTTTATCTGCAGCCTGTTGTTGATCTAAAGTGAACAACATCATCACTGATATTGGAGTGATTTTATCTCTGAAGTCGCGGTCATCCTGGTGGGGAGAGGGAGAGGGAGAGAGAGAGAGCGAGAGAGAGGACACACACACACACAGTTCTTATTTGTTTGTTAATTCGTGATCTCAGTCTTTCTGTAGCGAGGTTTAATATTCAGGAACATATTTCACTCTCTGTTTGGGCTTTAAACTTGGTTTGATTAGCTGAGTAAAATCATTTTACAGTTTCCCCTGGCGGACCTGAAACTAAAAGTGACTGACCTGTAAAACCCGTTGTTGCCAGCAGGTGGAACTGCACTTACTCTGAGGAAGACGTCCTGTTCCTCGCAGGCCGGTCCTTGTCCGTTGTTCACTGTCATGTTTTTGGCGTAGCTGAAGCTTCGACTGTGAAGGAAAAGAACGCGCTTTGTCGTTTCCTTCTGCTTCAGTCGATCCAGAGTCAGTTCCACTCGGAAATCTGAGAAAAAAACAGAGACGTTAGGAGACGTAAGAACAGAACAAACCCAGAGCAGTTGAACAGCTACTCACTGAGCTTAGCTGGAGCTCCACTACCGCTGGCTTTCAGGCAGTATTTCACCTTAAAACTGAAAAATAAAACACAACTCAGGATCAACAGGACTGACTTTTGTTCCTCACACCAAACCTTAAAAAAAAACAATTCATTTGGATCAAATCAAGCTCTGTTCGAATGAACTCTTATAAATAATTCTTATGTACTCTTTTAATCTGATAAAAGGTCACAGTTCTACTGTGACCATTAGGCTGCTCTAAGACAATGTGTGTGTGTGTGTGTGCGTGTGTTAGAGAGGGTGAGTGTGTCACTGACCAGGAAACTGCTGTGCTGCTTCCTGGAAGTGGGCACTTTTTTTCCTCTGGATTGATCATCTGTGGTGAGACGTCCAATGTCGCGTTGACACGGATGACAGGACGAGCTCTGAAATCAGACACAGATACTTCAGAGTTCAGGTCTGAATAAAAGCAGAACTCTGTAATATGCCAATATGTGTATATATATATATATATATATATATTATTTGGCATAACCTTAAAAAAAACTGTTCACCTGAATAAAACCGCTTTGTCTGCTCCAAAGACCCCAACTATTAAATCTGTAAACTCACACACACACAAACGCACACTTTAATGACATTGAAATATACATATATACACATATACACACATATATACACATACACATATATACATACATACACATATATATGGGAGATTAAAAACCTATTATATATATATAGATATAATTATATATTATATAATTAAATCTCCCAGTCGACTGGTCGATTTATTGGTCAATAAGTTTTCAGTACCATTTGTAAAATAAAAAAGTACTATTCTGCCAACGTTGACTTTTTCTTTTTCGATATTTGCATTCTTACTAGGGATGTACGATATTAGGTTTTTGCCGATATTGTCCAAACACTTAATTTCCGAGTCCGATATCAACCCATACCCAAAAAGTAAAAACTACATTATATTCTTCTATATTTTAAATGTATTTCTATTTTAAAAAACACAACGTTTTTATCAAAAGTGATAAATACTTATATAAGTTTTGTGTTTTTTGTTTTGGCTTGTGTGTGTAACAGTGTGTGTGTGTGTGTGTGTGTGTGTGTAAGAGTGTGTATTGTACCTGGATAGCCGTTCTGGTCAATGTCGATGTTTCCATTCATTGAATATCCAAAACTAGGTGGCATTGTACTGGACGCCCATTTCCCCTGCAACATCTGATGACATGGGAATAGTGACATCACTGCGGCAGTAAATTGTCAGTGCACTTCTGTTTCTAATATGTGTACCTGTGAGGGGTTGGGGTCAGGACCCTTGGGTCCACCGTTGTGGATATAAACCAGACCGTTATGAGCAGAGCCTCCATAGGGGGCAGAGATGGCCACATCTGAAAAGTGACATGAGATGGATTTTTTCTTTAAATGTTAAAAAATATGACAAAATACCTTTAAACAAATTCAAAGTCAATTTTATCTCTTATTATTATTAGATTTTATAGATATTTGTCTCTTTTTCTGACCGTTGTATCCATCCATATTCAGATCTCCCAGTGAACTGATGGCTGATCCATATCTGGCATAAACTTCTGATCCAGTTAAAGTCTGAGGAGGATGGAAGGAGAATCCACCAGAACCCAGGAACACACTGACCTGAAGCAAAAAAAAACAAAAACAAACAAAAACACAGTAACTCTGTAATCTCAGTAATTCTGTAGAAGACCTGGCCTTGTACTTTCAAACATGGCCACTAGTTGGAGCACGTTAGTACTTTGCAGCAGTGGGGAATCTGCTGCTTCCAGTTACTATGACTCTGACCCTGATCCTGGACCTGACCACTCGCTCATCAGGAAGACGCCCTCTGCTGGTCAGTACATACTGCTTCAGTCTTCAAGTCTCTGACTGAGCTGAACCATTACTGTCGGCTCTTCTGTTCTATTAACAAATTATTTTATAGTAATATTTAAATTTGTTTAAAACAAATAAACACAGACAGAATAAAAAAAAAGGAGAAAAAAAATGTGCAGTGGTTTTATGGTCGATACCCTGGAGCTGTTACACTCACAGTCTGCCGCTTCACACTGAGTTTATAGTGAAGAAAAACAGCAGCGTGGCTCCTTTCACATCTGTGTGTGTGTGTGTGTGTGTGTGTTTACAGTCGCTCACTCACCTGTCCCACCTCCTTCAGTTTCCCATCTGAACCTCGGTCCATGAAAAGTGGAGCTCCTACCAGGAGATCCATCAAACTAAGAACAAAAGAAAAATCCTCAAATGTTTCTGTGTAGCTAAGACCAGCAGGGGGCATTGCATGTTGCTGCCTAATTGCAGAGTCTAACACAGACTTGTGGTACTGTGAAACTGTGGCTTCAGGGGATTCTTACAGTGACTCACTTCCCTGAAACAGAGATCTTTGGGAAAACTCTGCTAAAGTAAGACTCAGACTCACCCGTCGTCATTGACGTCCACAGCAGCCACTGAGTGTCCAAAGTACGCCGCCATCTACAAACCCATACAGAGATGTTTATGTCACTAGTATGTTTATTAGAATAATATCAACTACATTAACTTTTAGTAATGTTGCTATTGTTTTATCATGTTGTTAAAATCGTATTTTTGTTGTTTCTGATGTCATTACTGTTAAAAAAAAACATCACCTGAGTTCCTGTGAAATTAACCATTGACTCCATGTTGAGGCCGTTGAAGATGTTCACCTAAAACGAGGAGATACAGTTGAGCATCTTGTGACCAATTCACAGGAACTGTGGGATTGACAGGTTTAGACACGTACGTAACCCAGAGCTTTATCTCCTCGAGGAACTCCAGTGACGTAATCTGGACAAGAGAATAACAAAAGACGACAGATTACCTTTCTGACAGCAGGGGGCACAATGAAATGATAATTTAAGAGCATTTATTTATTATATTTTCCTGAAGTGTATGCCACTGCTGTAACTGCTTCTGCAACAGTTCCAGTCTGTTACTGCTCACCTTCTGTCCCATCATTATTAAAGTCTCCCACAGTCACAGAATATCCTGATGGAAGACAAGCAACATTAGCTAGGAGAAGGAGAAACAGGGCAAAAAAGGGTCAACCCTAGGTCAGAGTGCGAGATGTTACCCAGGTAACTGTCGTCGTACAGAGCTCCTGCAGACTTGGTGAACAGAGAGTTTCCGTACGGAGTCACAAAGTCTCTTTTAAAACGAGCGAAAATCTCCGAGATGTCATCGGAGATCAGCTGACCTGTGGACAGAGGGGTGGGGACACAAAGAAAAAGATCAGCCTGAGGAACTTTAGGTCGGACCTAGGACTTTGGACCTCCCAGTGACTCCATCATGTTTCTGACAGCGGCTATGTGTCACAGGACAGGCCCACAATACTTCCTGTCCTCCATGACAGCCTTCCCACTGGAACAGATACCGTCTCAGAGCTTGCAAGAAACTTCTTCATCCTCCTTCACCTACAGCCCCTGATTCTGCTCCTAGTTCTTGGGTAATTGTACTAAATACACATTGTCTGGTCCTGGCTTTTACAGACTACGTTTGCAGTAGTATTTGTGCTTCAGACCACAAGACCAGATCCAGCAAGACTCAACAAGACTCAGTGAGTGGGCAGTCTGTGGTAACAAAGAAGACGCTATGATAAAATGGACAACAAACAGGAAGTGGCTCCTGTGGTTAAAAATGTAGCCTGTGTTTTTCCCCCACTGCCTGTGTGTGTATGTGTGTGTGTGTTTGTCTGCATGTGTGTGTGTCCAGTCAGTTGTGTCATAGCAAGAAACAATAATTACAATCCACAGTTCAGTCATTTCGTCACACCCAGTGAAGCCAGACAACATAGATTAACACAAACACACACGTTCAGTATTTGACTGGGGTTTCTCACCCTGCCAGTAGAAGCTTCCAGGTCCTCCCACCACGACTCGTTTGTTTTTCTAAAAAACAATGTCAAAGAATTCTGTTAGCACTAGACTTCTGGCTTCACTGCACTGTTACAATTCTACACCGCACTTTCTGACAGTGTCTACAGGAGGCACCGTTTCAAGAATGAAGAAGAATCAAAGTTTATTTGTCACCTCCTCAAGGTCAGGTACACAGACGGGTTCATAGATATATAGAACTGTATTAATCCATTTATTAATCAATGAATAGGGTAAAGTTTTTACACATTTACACAAACAATTTACTTTGCAGTTACTTTTTAGAGACAAAAACAA